ACGCGCTTTTAATTATTCGCAAATTACACACACACACACACATGCAGTAACATCCTATATATGTATATTATGTGTAATCCGACGTGTTGAGCGAGTGTCACAAAAAAAAATTCAAGAAAATTCTTTGCTCACCCCGAAGTGTCGCGTCGCGAATTTTTCAAGAGCGATCTCGACGATGTACGGTTTGTACAGAGCTTGGTTCGGCAGCGGTGTCCCGAGCACCGGCTATCCCTGTCTCGAGGACACATTCTCGCCGCCCGACACGGTGGTGCGAGTCGGCAACGAGGGCGAGCATCAGTTCGTCGCGCACAAAGGCGTGCTCGCGGCTCACAGCGGATATCTGAAAGCCTTGCTGGCGAATGCGACAACGACGACGACGACGACGTCGTCGTCGACGATGGCTAATTCACCCTATGACCCTTCTTGCGCTACCATCTCTGTCACAACGACGAACGGACAATCGCCGCGACCGGTCACCTCCGTGCTGGTCTCGTCCATCGGTAAATATGAGTCGTTCGACTCGAGAGATTGCTATAGTCATAGCAATTTTTTTCGGAGAGATTTTTAAATTACATTTTATACGCATTTTATACAAATTTGATTAAAAATTGTTGTATTATAAAACAAGATTCGCGCGCAAAAAAAAAAAAAAAACAAGTTCGCGCCTGCATAACGGATAACTGTGCCAAAATTAGATCAATTTTTTTTTTCTACAAAAAAAAATCCATCATTTAACGAACACTGTGGTGTAAAATGTAATCAATCGGTGTCTATTTATATTACGATGTTAAATGAGTAGTTAAAGCATTTAATTGACACGTACGATGAAAAAAATTTAGATTTTTCTTAAAAAAAAAAAAGAAAAAAAAGAAACGTTTCCTCGGAATATTTTTCGAATGATAACAATCAAATATCCGAAATGTTCGGCGAATAACAATCAACTAAAACCGAATATTTAACGAATTTTTATCATACAATATGTGTCCCTGCTACCTTCAATCTATCATTGGGATTTTCCAATAATTATCCGACTCAATCCAATTCAATTCAATAATTGGACCGCTTGCTTCACAAGCGGTGTAAAGTCTGCAGTTTTCAAAAATAAACGTTTCAATTCGTGTTGCAATCGCGCAGTTTCTTTACTTATCAAAATAATCCGAGTTGTGTGTGTGTGTGTGCGCGTGTGTATCTGTGATTGCGCACTTAACATCAAATGACTTCGAAATCAATTGTGACGTATTTGGATTCATTTCTTGCGATTGAGTCTCGACTTTAAAAGACAAAAAGCGCGGATTTATATATTTTAGAAAACAAAAATTGCGCGCACCAAAACGATATTGATTTCTCTCCACGCACCCAACTCTAAGTTTTTTCTCAAAATCAAGGTACAATATTTTCCAAAAGTTTTTACGTGCGAAAAAAAAAACAAATTGATCTCCTCTTTGGTTTCCTTATAAAACAAAATTCAAAGAAAAACACATCGACCCGTCAAACAACACATTCGATGAATCCGCTTTCACCCTCTCTCCCTCCGATCTGATATCAGGTGGAGAAGCGTTCGCGCCGCTACTCAACTACATGTACACCGGTCGGCTGGAGGTGACATTGGACAACGTTTACAGCGTGTTGCTGGCGACGCATTTGCTGCACATGCCGGGCGCGCTCGAGCAGTGCAGAGCCGCCCTATTGAGACTGCGGGCGCCTCCGCCTCTGCCTACGCCACCGTTACCGCCGCCGGTGCCGACGTCCGTGTCAACAACAACGGGATCATCACCGGGAAGCGTCGGGAACATACTACGACCCATACCGAACAGATTGGTGGTCGGACCGCCTCTGTGCTGGCCCCCGACGACACCGCTCGCGTATCCACCGACCGCGCCGGCACCGACCATGTCGCATCTGCCGCCGTCGATGCAACCGCTGATGCAACCGACCGTACCGCCCGGCATCAACGTTGTCTCGACGAGAGAGAAGCAGGAGCAGTGCGCGCATTTTAGGTTTGCAATATTTGCGAAATCTTCATATATATAATTTAAAACAAGTGCGCGATTAAAATAAACAATTCTATATATAATTCAAGGTAGTTTTCAAAAAAAAAAATACTCAAAAAGAAATAATTTTTGTAGCTATTTCACACAACAGATAAAAATATCTCAGGAAAATGTGTTTTTTTTTCTTTTTTCAGCTCTGAGATATCGAGGTCACCTCAGTCCTCGCCGCCTCCGCAACACAAACGTCGACGACCGAGCGCCAGCAGATCGAGAACACCGGAGATCGTGTCCGGCGTTTCGACGCTGCCGTTCGTGGCCGCGGCCGCGGCCGCGTTCACCGCGTTCGCCGTCACGAACAGCGCGAAGAGTTCCACGACGAAGACGTCGTCGCCGACGCGCTCGATCTCGCCCGCTCTGTCCTCCGTGTCGCGAACTCGCTCGCCTGTACACCATCACAACAACAGCAAAAAATCGACGGATCACGAGATCGCTCCGCGATCGGAACGAAAAGCCGACGATCGCTCCGCGAGATCGTGCAACGATCAGCAACGCAAATCGCGCACCGCCGCGGCGTCTCCGACGAGCGACGATGGACCGAGTCGCGGCAACAGCAGCACCAATAACGACAACAACAACGAGGACACCGCGATATCGGAACACGATCGAGCGGCACGTTTGTCTCGCCGTCGAGCACGGAATTCGAACGCGAAGGAGACCTCTTCCTCGAGCGCCGTCTTCTCCGTGGTCTACGACATCGCGTGCTGCGACGGACCGGTGCGTTTTCATCGTGTGCTGAACGAGAATTACTCGTCGGCACCGACTCGTCAGCAGAGGAATTGCCAACTGCCGCCGGAGAGCGAGGATCCGCCTACCGAGAACGACGAGAACGGCGGACCGGCAACGAGAGGGAACCTCACGCGCAGTCCTAGCAACGATTCGAGCAACGACGGTAGCAACAGCAACAGCAGCGGCTGCTACACCTGCGGTTACTGCAAGCACACCTTCAAGTCGCAATACTGCTACAGGAAACACGCGAAACGTCACCTGCTGCCGACGCGAATCAACGAGGTGGCCGGTGGTGGTGGCGCGAATCACGGACCGAGACAAGACACTTCGGCGCGCGGAAACAGACGAGAGGTCAGACTGCTTGATCTGAACGTGCAGTATTATCCGTGCAAGATCTGCGGATGCAAGTTTCCGAGCTACTACTTCGTGCACAAGCACCGAAAGATGTGCCACGCGAACGACGAGGAGAGACAGAGCGTAGGAGACGCGACGACGAACGCGTCGAGTCGCGACGCGGACGCCTCATCCACTCAAGATGCCCCGTGAAAAATCGGAAGACGATTCCCTCCTCTCCCTAACCCTTATCGAAATCTCTATGAACAAGCAAGTGTTGTCGAAGTTCTGTGCTTTGGTAATTTGATTATTTTTCAAGTGGCTTATTCTACGTTTTTTTTTTTCCCCCCATATCGCGAGATAATTAGATTTCTGTGAAACATGTATTAAAAAAAAAGGCGCGTTATATGTATAATTTAATATAAACCACGAAGTTACACTTTAATAAGTATAGTAATTTTAATGTAATAATCGCTTCAAATATGTTAACCGAATTTGTAAGCCCATAATTATGTAATTATAATCGCAATAAAACATTCACGATCTTGCGTGAAAATAAATGAAAATAAATGTTATATGAACGGTTTAACGTGTGCAAAACAACAACCACAGGATATCGAATATATCGCTCGAATTTCCGTGTTGCCTAAGCCGCTTGTAAAATAATCAGAGCGTGTATAAGATTTAAAAAAAAAAAAAAAAATGAAATGACACTTTGCCCTAAATGCGTGATTCTATTCGTTTTTAGATTATTCCTTGATTTCTTCTCGATGTGAATGTATATTTATGGAAAATAGAAACGAACTCTCTCTTTCTCATTAAAAGAAAGAAAACTAACAATTCCAGATATGGAAATGTTTGCGCGAATATTTAATTCTAGATAAACTAGATCTCTGCAATCACTCACACATACACACACGCGCCAGACTGTTGCAGAAAATGAACGTCATGCTTAAATCCAGAATTTAAAAGAATCCACACATTCTTACATTACCTCAGAAATGTATAAACTGTTAGCTCTTAGACAACAAGAGAATTTTTCTTTTTTTTTAACGATCCTAATTGTAATCGCGTTTCTCTTCTTACGTGTATATTTCTTTGACGTTATATATAAATATATCAATGTTATACACACACACGCGCACACACACACACAAACACACAGCCGAGAGTGTTTTGCATGCTGGTACACATTTGTTTCACGTACCAATACACGTTGTATAAAAACCGATAAAAATTTACGATTTACGTGGTCAAGAAAATGTTGTCGATTACGTTCATGTAATATTTAAAGCGCAAGAATTCTGTAACAAATAAAAGAAATGCTAATTTCTCTCCTTAAAAAATCATCAAGAAAAAACCGATATATATGTAGATATATCAAAGACCATTCCTCAAAAATTTATGTTCGCGAAACGTAACTAAATATGAAATATATACATATATATGTATATATGTATTTCCTCATATACATGTATGTATATGAGGGATTATTAAATATATCGTACACATCATGCCGTTTGTGTCCGTGACGTAAAAGCAAATATAACGAAATTAATAAATTAGTGGTACTTTTCCGGAAATACATCCATAATGAATTAAATATGATAATTGAGTGATTACTTCCCGTTATCTGTACATTAAATTAACCCTTCGAGTAATACGAGATAATAATTTCGATAAACCGCGACTCGATATTCGAATGTATTTAAATTTTTCTTTTAAATTCGCTTAATTGTCAACGCGTTACTTCTAAAACACCACGCAGATGTAATTTGCAAATTTTACGATCGCGCGCGGTGTGTGAGTTTAACTTTCCAAAATCCAAAATTCCACTTTCGAATTAACAGCAAAAAAAAAACGAAGATATAAGAGAATAAATTTGTTTACCGATTACGTCGATCGTAGGCGCCTCCTCGTCGCTGGTTTCCATAGGTATGTGATTCTCCTTTTTCTTGTCTTTTATCCTGCCGCTAGCTGCCACGTTAGCACCACTCCCCGTGTCCCTGCTACCGGGTTTCTTCTTGCTGGATTCCTTGAAGTCCGATTGGATTGTCGAGACGTTCGTCGCGTTAACATTCACCGCGGACGAGGACGACGATGACGCACCTTTTCCTTCCATTCTGTACAAACATTTTAAAGAAAACAAAAATGTACAATCATATACAAATATTTAGTTACACAAATCTAAAAAGTTGTATAAAAACACGAGTGTAAATTTTGCACAACTGCTATGTAAAAATGCAATCTGTTTGAACTTTGTGTCGCACCGTCGCGTATTCTGTTCGAAAAAAATAAAATATGATATTTTATGATAAAAAAAGAACAAAACAAAAAATGCTGTGTCGATTGCGCGTGCACGCCTTAAGAAACGGGTGAAAATTTCGTCGTTTTCATCGGACGGGATCACATTTCCAACGATCGAGTCAATTACGGTGATGAGAGCCTACGTAAACATAATCCACTAACCGGTAACCATTGATTAGCATTACAATCTGCTAATAATTGATCTACCCCCACTCTTCTCGAGCTGCCACCGCTGCAGCACCCACCCTCGCTCCATCTCGTCAACCCCCTGGCGTATTCCCGTCATCCCCGAACCGACTATCTCTCTGTTCGGCAATTCGCGGCTTTTCGTTTCAAAAACCCCCCACGTGATTATCATCGATAATCGAAACTTATCTCTGTTGGTACAGAGTGTTGTGAAAAAAAAAAAAAAAAAATAGATCACGTTAAATCTTTCTTTTGCGCGCGGTTTTGTAATATTTGCGCGACGCCGAGCGACGTATTGTAATCGTTAAATGGATATTCGCGGGTCGTCTCTTCCACCGTGAACAATATTGAGATTGGTTCGTTGGAGTGGGGTGTGTTTGCGAAATGAATATCTTCCGGCCGATGGATACGGTTCATTCAATCAGTCCGCGTATACGCTTTTATATAGATCAGAATCGGAACCAATTGGTACGTACGTGCGTTTCTCGTAAAATGAGCCGCGCCAACTCTTTTATTTCTTACCCGCGCATCGAAAATATATGATCAATATCGGTTTTAAAAATAAGCGAAGAATGTAATATTCGCGTGACAGCCGAGCCGGCGTAAATTCCATACATTAAACAGTTCAGTTCTGTAAACTTAAACGCCGTTTCGATTATTTGAACATAAAATGATCTATGAATTGTTATAATAATTTACACTATTATAATGTTACATGTTAAATACAATATCGCGATATTAATTGAAAAACAGGAGTATTATATGGAGTATATGTTATTGTTTGATAAAAATGCAAAAATAAATAAACACCACATTGACACGTACATTACTTTGACGTCCTTTCCCGACGACGTCTCCGATTGCGATTCCTCTTTCGTATCTATTTTCGTGAGATGAGATTCCTTCGAATCCTTGTTCTCCTTGATCTCTTTGCTTGTCTCTTTGGAATCCTTCGCGCTGGACGTCGTAGGTGTCGCCGAGACACTCGTCGAAGTAGTGTTCAGAACAGATGTCGTTGTCGTTGTCGTTGTCGTTGATGCTGTTATGGAATCCGCCGTTACATTAACGCCAGACGATATCGAGCTCACAGGTGTTGTCGTCGTCGATACTACTGAAGAAATGCTCGTCGACGATGCGCTCGATGTCACGGTGGTGCTCGTTGTTGATGTAGACGCGGTCGACGCCGTATTCTGAGGATTCTCCTGAGTTTTCTGTTGTTGTTCTCGCTGCAATCGTGTTGTTACTCCTGTCGTTAAAATATCTATAGGTCCAATAGCCGAGCTAGTATTATTTACCTGAAACAATTGCAAGAAACGGTTATTTACATTTCGTATAAAAGAAATACACATCATTAAGGAATAATATTAATAATATTGTATAATCGTATTTACTTTATTATTTGGATTATTTCGAGAGCTACGTGTACGTTGACGTGATTTTCGTAGAAGCTGTTTATAATTTTCTGCTTTCTTGGTGAGGTAGTAGTGATGTACACAATCTGGAACGGACTTATGTTCTATCGATTGAGCTATCACTCCGTAGTTTTTAGGATGCTGAAGATATTTTTCTTTGAACAATTCGTGCTCCACGGAGCTCCACACGTTTATCAATTTACGTTCCCTGTGCAGCGCCTCCAATTCCTCCGGTTGAAGCAAACCGTTTCGATTTTGGAACGCGATCCTCCGCTGCCTCGCGTCCAACAACAGAGGCGGTATGACTGCGTATGAACGCATCTTCTTATCTTCCATCTATCAAAAAACAATTATATAATTTTTATACAGTTTATCCGTATTTAGTTTACGTACTTTATGTTTGTTAAATGCAAATTTGGCATTATTTTCATATCAATTACAAAGTTTTTTTTTACAACATGAAGTAGTTTTCAATATTTTTTAAGAAGTTTTGATTTTTCTTTAATTCAATATTAAAACAATGTCTTACCATAAAATGTTGCTAAAATATATAAATATAGACAATACCCCATTATTCTCACCAGTGATTTTCAATTTATCAATATAAATTTTTATATTTTTATAAATAATACATAGAACACGATCTATAATTCATATAACGTAGGCACGTTATTGCCTAACCTAACCTGATTTACTTAACCTGATTTACCTAACCTGATTTCAATGGCATTTTATTAATCTTATTATGTTTTTTTTAGAAAATAAATAAAGATAAACTTTCATAAAAAAATTATCTTTGTAAGAAAATCTCATATGTTCATGTTACGACAACACAAATGAATCAAAACAAAAAATATAGACTAAAGTCAATAATGATTTTTCAAAAAGATAGCAAGTAAAATCTTAATTACAACAAAGCTGAAAAGTTAGACCTAATCTGATATCATCAATTTTTAAGAAACATTATATTAAAAAATACTTTTTTATTCGTTATTGTAAAATCAATTAAAACTTTATTATTCTCCGCATCTTTTCTATTAACCAATGATAACTTTCAATCATCTCTGTTTATATATATATATCACATTACAGTTTGTAGTTCTTTTCCTAGTCTGTACACAGTAAAGAACCAAGAGAGAAAGCAAATGTCTAAAGATAGAAATTGTCAGTTATCATTATCCTTTAGTTACAAACACAAAGTGACTGATTCCTTTTTATTTATTTACTTGATGGAACAATGCTTTCACAAAGTTACTTTAGAAACACCTAAAAGAAAAAAAATCAAGTAAAATGCTAAAAGTTTGTGTTCGATTGTAAGAATAAAATTAATCAAAATTCCTAAACAGAATACATTGATTTGTGCACATCAAAACAAAAGCGTGTTTTAATGAAACAAATTTCTAAAGATCTTTTTTTCTCACTGTCGTTTTACTTTATCTGTTGGCAAAATCATCGTAAAAAACTACTAATTAAACGCTAATGTATTAACGTGCCATTCTTTTTATTTCACCTTACATCCTACTTTTTATCCTCACTGTAACCTCACTTCTACTTTTCTCCTTTCGCAACCATGTCTGTCTCAATTATCAATCGCTTCGAAACTTCTGTCTTATTTCATGTAGAGTTACGCAAACATAATCTATACCTCTTGTTCTTGTAAGCCGTCCATTATCTCCTCAAGATCGGCTTCGCTCTTGATACGAGCACCAACTCTATTGAAACGCTCCTTGTCCTCCCTCTGTTTTCGCAACTCGGGGAACACCTTTTCGAAGAACTCGCGATTCTTCGTCTCCTTCGATTTCCTTTTCTGCGTCGCCTCCAAACGTTCCACCTTGCGATGCCATTCCTGAACCAAAATGGCGTACGTTTGCGACTGTTGCGAATGAAGGGCAGCACGTTCGGCATGTTCCCTTCGAAGTTTCAATATAAGCTTAGCTCGTATGCAGGTCTGGTGTCGCGTGCGATTATCCTGATATACATTCGTATCCGATGGTTGATTATACAAAGGTAGTTCTACTTTGGGGCCCAGTCTTTCCAAAAGTTTATGAGCATCTTCTGCCCTTCGCTGCAAAACAAGAGAGTGAAAATACAATTATATCCTTGTTTTGGCCGTTATTTATAATCTAGTTTCTATACGCTTAAACTACTAATTTAATCAATAGTCTGGCAACAGAAACAGAATAGTTTATATTGGCACGGTAAAGACAAAAGACTCGCGTAAAATATGTAAACTTGGCTTCGAAAACAACTTTAGCGCTCGATAAAGTACTCGATTATACATATATATGTAATTTACCCTATTTTCAGCGTAAATCTTCTGCGCCAACGATTGATGCTTCGGTTGCGATTGTTCTTCGATATTTCGTTTGAGACCGCTCGCTTCCAAAGGCTTGTTCGCTGTTTCCTCCAGTTCTTTTAACCTTTTTCGCAAATTATTCAACTGACTCTCCCTCTTGGCGATTTCTCGATCTACCTTGCCGATTTGTTGCAGCAAATCGTCCTTGGTACTCCTAAACTGCGCATCTTCCTGCGGATTCGGTTCCGGAAGCGTTGGTGAGATGGCTTCTGTTTGCGGAGTGTACGCACCCACGGGAGGCTGCTCCTAGCAAACAATACGTCATATCATATCGCGCCTAGTTTGCTCGAATTGAATTTATTTTATTTTGTTATTTGTTTTTATTCAATGTACATGTGGTAAAAATGCATTCGATAACACACTGTCTCGTCATCGACTGTGTATGAAGATCCATCGGCTACATCATCAACGTTACACTCACCCTAGTGTCTATCCTAAGCGGCTGTTGTAGTTGCACGACATGTTGCTGTTGTTCCTGTTTGTTACCGCAGTGATCCGCGGGCGACAAGCTTTGACAGCGAGATTGCGGTTGCGACTGCAGCTGCCCCTGTTGATGAGGCTGACCCAAGCGAATCTTTTTGAAGGGCGGCGCTTCCTGCTGCAAAGTGGCCATATCGACGGCGGTACGACTGCAATACTGATCCGGTTGGACAGGCATAAGGCCCACTCGCGACGGATTCCTCGCTGCCGCCACCGCATGCTGCTGATAATCCGACGCAGCAGCAGTCGGCGACGGTATCGGCGTTACCGAGGACCCGACGGACGGCAGGAGAGATATCCTTGGCCGATCGCCTCTGCTGCCGGTACCCATGCCGCTGTATTCGACAGCGGTCACTACCCCGACACCGCCAACTCCGCCAACTTGAGAAAGAGGACTATTGCTCACGCTAATGGCGATCCTCTCATTCACCTGAAAAATGAGATAAAAAACACTACGGTCAAGACTCACTCCATTATCTTCGTTCTTCCTTCTTTTTTTTTTTTTTTTATTTTATCTCTTCTTTTATCGCTCTTTACTCTCTCGTCGTCTTGCTTGCTCTCTGTCCAGAAGTTCAATTTATCTCTCGCCCCGTTGTAACCTTCTCACCGCGAAACTATTTCAGGAAAATCGATGACCCGATTCAAGAAAGCACGCGGTACCGATAATACACTTGGCGACCACTGCTCTATCCCCCTAACACATTGCGTCTCCGTTCGCAATCATCTGCTTCAACTTTTTTCTTCCCCCCTTTTTTTATTCTACCGATTGTCACGCATTACGACACCCGTTCATTCGCTCGTCGAAGTTCGTGGCGAACGGTTCGCAAAGGTGGCGGGGTTCGTTCTCGCTTCGATTGTGTGTACGCGCAACCGTGTAATAACGATGTAGAAACCGCTCTATAAGCTACGACACACGCGCGCGGGACAGCTGGAAATAATCGCGACTCGAAAAAATATACACACAAGAAATAAACAAAATAGCGAGAGATGCGATTGTCCTTGTATGTGCACGTAGACGCGCGCGCGCGCGCGTGTATGTGTTAGCCCCGAGTAGGCGACTGTGTAACTTTCACCCGCCCACTCGCATCGCGCTGCGAGCTAAATATGATAATGTCCGTTAGAACATGTCTGTTATACCGTGGATTTAGCCTGACTTAAAACACATGAGAGAATCTTCATATAAAAATAAATATGACGAGAATAAAAGAAAAAAATTCCATAAGATATTATTGTTCTCCTGCAAGGTTTCGTTCGTAAATTTTTTAACATCTTGAAAAACGTTGCGTTATTATTAAACTAAGAAATACTATTTTAAATAAATAAAAACAAAAATTTATACGCACACTGTAAATAATGTGTTTATGTCTTAATACTCACAAACTGTTACCGCGTTAGAAAACGCAAAGTTATACGCGAGTAATTCTTTAATTTTATTTTTGCAATCGTTCCAATTTTCGATCTTCTCAAAAAAAATGCGCGCGCGTATGTTCATTGATGACGATACACGTTCCCAAGGCTATCGTAGAACATAAATTCAATTCCGTCCAACAAGAATATCGCATTTCAAATTAATCAATTCCGTGTTAACAATAACATACGCCGTACTTGAAACGCGTATTTTAAACGCGGAGCGTCAAACACGCGCGGATTGCATTGTTAAAAGAGAGGGGAAAAAAAGGAAGAGGACCGATAATCGGTGAAAGTCAAGGACAGGGCCGACCGATATAACGTGCGTGCACAGAGCAATGGCGTTGCGCGATGCGTGTCCCGATTATTTCGAAGTTCGGAGGCTACGAATTAATATTGATCTATCTCTGATGCGCTTCCCCGACGCGAATAAGCGCGTATCGACGGTGTTGTTCGTGACGTGTTTTTGTAAACCTCACGTTGCAATTACAAAATTATTATTTTCTTTTTGTTTTAATAATATAATATCTGTTTTTCAATTGGACTATTTTATCAGCAACGCGCGCACATGTAACACACAAACTCGGTCGAGCGAGCGAACAGATCGACGGTCATTTTATGAATCTAAACATAGTTTTTAACTAGATAAATAAGATACGATAGACAAAATGAGGTCGAGTAAAATTTTCCGTCAGATATCTCACTGTAACGTTCAATATCCCTTCCGACGAGAATGTTAAAAAAAGGATTACATATTTGGATCGGTTTCATTTCTTCTCAAAGAAATCAATTGCCAGTAGTATGGAAACCGGACAAAAATATCGCAGTTGGGATGTCCAAAAATAAAAAACTTCTTGAAAGTAAATGACAACTACACGTAGGTATAGATCGTCGTCTGTTTGCTCGACGTTCGGATCGGGTGACACACGAGCATCGAGCAAACCCTATTCTCCATCTTCTCCGAGTACGTATAAGATAATACTTTTCCAATGCATAATGCTACTATTTATTACTGCTTAATGGCGTAATAAGAAAAGAGAATCATTTCCGCTCCCGGGTGTGTTTGCATGACCGTGACCGTTCGATGAGCCGCGCTACGTCATATCGAAGACCGACGACGACGGAGATCTCGAGAAGGTGGAGAAGGAGAAGGTTTTGTGCGCGCGCGCGCGCGTGCGAGCACACGTATTTCGTACATTTGTGTATGTGTGTGTGTTTGTGTGTTCGCGCCCCATGGAAATACCTACGTTAGTGGTGCTGGCGCGATACGCGTCTCTTGCGGCGTAGGCAGTCCCGGTGAGTGGCGGTGGCGGTGTTTGGCTGGCGATGACGGTCGGCTGTTGGCTCGGAGGTGGTGCGGGCGCGGGTGC